GTCATGCCCATTTGACTTCATATTCACTTCAAATAATGTAATTAGTGCTCATTCCCATAAAATTTAACAAAGACATGCTTGCATGTGGGATTACACTACCAATCTTTCACAATTTCACAAATTACATGCTAGATTTTGTGATTCCATAGGAGTTCTTTACATGCATGTACATATCAAGCCTCAATTTCAGTAAAACCAACTTAAATCCTGCTCTTGATCACAAACAACCCTTGAACACACAAGATTACACATTAAACTCATGAATTCAAGAATCAATGCTTACCTAGGGGCTCAATTCTTCCAATTTGGTCAAGTCTAGAGTTGTCTTCAAGACTTCCAAGATTCAAGAGCAAAACTTTGATTTCCTCCCCTCTCTCTCTCTAATTCGGGTCTCTCCTCCTCTAGAGAGTTAAATCAGCCAAGAATGAAATAAGATGAGGGAGTTGAATACATAAGGGTCCCATATAACCCCACTAAGCCTCATTAATTTAATATTACATATTTGAGCACCAATTCATTAATTAATCAATTTAATCTGGCCTGAATCATTTTTCAATTAAATTTCACCGTAGGCTCTAAAAATTATGCCAACCACAATGGCGTAATCGATTTCGGGTTCTGTGGCCGATAAGGCCCTCAATTAAATTTCCAAAGCTGATTATTCAAACAGATATTCCTACGGTGAACAGATGGAACTTCAAATCACATATTTTCACATAGTGGAACACAAATCATATCAAAATACATAATCACATCATGTTAAGGACCAATTAACATATTACGGAACAGGGGTATTACAGTCTTCCCCCCTTTAGGAAGTTTGGTCCTCCAAACTTAATTTACCTGTAGTCGAAAATAATTCGGAATACTTTCTTATTCAACGGTTCCATTTCTTTTTGATAGCCACTTACTTAGCCCCAAAGTCAAACAAAACTCAGTTCTTACTCGGTCAGAGACTTACCTTTTCTTCCATACAAGGCCTATATGGTGCCATACCGAAACTAAAGTGTAAGCCGTCGTCGTGAGTAAGGTCTGCCAACGATGAATAGATCTTTCCAATTCCTCGAAAATCTAAGGTACACATTTGGAGCATTTCTCCCAGAGTCTAACAAGTTCTTTCTGATCATACATCAATTTGCGGATGGAAAAACGGCGCCGAATCATAATTCAGTTTCGTATCAAATTCGTAATTTGTCCAGATCATATACAGAAATCATAAGTCATGATTAAGTTTACGTGACACATCCATTAGCATTAACAGAACAGAACAGAACGGAACAGTACAGAACATATACATGTGAGGTTACGAATAACCAGTTTCATAAGGGAACCTTCGGGTCCGGGTAACATAACAGAACAGAAGCTGAGCCCCCATTGCCTTTTGAAGGCTTTTCCGGATTCAAACACATTTTAGAATTTCTGTCTAAACAATAGATACTGGGACCCCATGTAACGAGCGATCTTATCGATGTAAACAGTGGCTAGTCTACAAGCATCATACAAAATTTTATAGGGAGAAATGGGCAACTTCAATAATTTTACCTACAATAGCCCAAATGGGACTTATACCTTGGGTGCTCAAGGTAGCCCCACAACGAAATTCGTAGCCACATATTCCCATTCCCATTCCAAAATGGAGAGATTGAAGCAGTTCTGCCACCACTGATATTCGACTTTGACCTGTTGGTACCGAAAATATTCAAACACAAATTCACTAATTGCCCCATTCATGGTAGGTCACCAACAAATTTATTTTAGATGTCGGCTAACTTTATCACAGAAGTTCGGTCTATTCTGTGTTACAAAAGTTCAATTCATTCTTCAATAATTTCCCAATTCACGATCTGATTCGGTATTTAGTCCAGTGACTCATCACAATTATCCAAGGTCAATTAAAAGTCTTCAGGAACATAAGGTGGATTCAGATACTGATTCCCGAAACAACAAAGGTAACATCGAAGTAATTACCCACACAATACACATAGTCCAGACATCCCCATAATACTGATTGTAAGGTACAATAACACTGAGGCAATCGACTTCTAATAGAATACACGTATTCTCAGTTCATTCAACAGTTTACAGTTTGCAATTCACAATTCAGTTCAGTATTCAATTCTCTGTTCCATCAAGTCTTTCTACTTTATCTTATAGTCGTTAAAAGCATAAGGCAATTCATATATAAACCTCCATAATGGCAAAGGTAGTATCAAAGGAGTCAATCACATGTTAAGCACAATTTACACATCCTCAGGGCCCCAATTACAGAATATGATGGCGCTGGGCAGGCGTTCACATGGTGCACTGAATTCGCACACTTATGGTTGATCAGGATTTTTCAAAGCTTCTTGGACGTCTATAACATTTACATAATGCCAAAGGATGACATTCCAAACAAAACAAAGGAATAATCGTCTCGGAATCGAAGCACACCCGTTCGCGACCGTCGGTGGCCGATTCCAGATCGATTAGTCAAACCCACCCGTACGAAACCGTCGGTGGCAAAAGGTATCTCAATCAAAGGTGCTACATAGGCTTAACGTCCCCTAGCACAAAAGGACACTCTAAGAATGTCATCAAAGCAACACAACACCATTCACTATAACCTGATTTCTCCAAAATCTGATAACACTGAAACAACCACTCTCCCTTACAAAACATGTTCTGATCAGTCAAAAACAAATGTTCAGTACTGCTCAAAATCAAATCAGTCTACCGTCATCGGTTCCCATAGCGTCAAACAAACACAATGGAACAACGCTCCTTACGACACCCAATCACGGGGTTTGTACAATTCGGTTCATTTTTAATATGTATGTTCTCAATAGTTGGGGATTGGTTCTCAACGGCGTTCATAGTTAGATCAATCTGTTGATAGCCCACAAAAGGTCCTTCAAATAAATCAAGTATCTCAAATGAATTCAAGTTTTGGGTCCATCAGTTTTTCTGCCAAGAATAATCTGGCTCTTTATTCACAAGCCATTCTTAATCCTCTTTTTACAAAATCAAATTAGATAGAGGGTCTTATCGATCGATCCAAGCAACGGTTTTGTCAGATTAGATCGAACAAAGGTTCCATCAAATTATATCAAATGAGGGTTCCATCGGAACAATATCAGGCAGAGGTTCTATCGGATCGAATCAGATAAAAATTTTCTCAACTGCCCTAAGTTCATCAGTTCTCAAAGTCAAATCGGAGTCATTTATCATAACTGTTCATATCAAAATATCTCAAGTCATGTACAATATGGCCTTGTCTACATAAGTTCAGGTATATAGTGGCATGCGCATGCAATTATTCATATTAGGAGGTATGTACCATAATCAATACAGTAGTTCCCAAACAAGTCTTATACATAAGCACATGGTGCACGGTAACATATTAAATGAAGTTTCCCGGTTGTACATAAGATAGGGTCTGTTATGCAAAAGTTCTAAATCAATCACAAAAGCATAGGTTTACGAGTCGAGCTCAATATAATCACATAGTCCAGTCAACTTCCTACTAATCAAAATGCACGATCTCACAATTCATAAAGCTCATTATTTGGGGTGCTCAACTCGATCACAATCACAAAGTCATAATTCTAGCGGTTTAGTCATTGAAGACAGTAACATAGCAAATCAACCTGAGCATAGGTTTAGATATACATGTGCATGTGCAGAGCCAATCAATATCCCAAAACGTATTTCACAAATTTCCTAAACGGGGCATATATCTCCAATGAACACGGTCTCGATCATGTAGGTCTAACCGATCCAGATACACATGCAGCAGATATGGAAAAATATGCCGATCCGAATCAAATAATATCCCCAGCAAAGATGTACAACATACTAATTCAGATCCAATCAACACATAAACATTCATTTGTAAACAGTATAGATACCTGGGATAATGGTTACAACATTCTGAGTGCTTTCTGGGATGAGTGTGTTTACTCCATCCTGAGTAGCAATTCCTACCACTGGTACGGATTTAGCCAAGGCAAAGGATTCATTCACATTTCGTTCAATCCGGGGACAGTTCCTTGCCGTATGGTTCATTTCACCACACCTATGACAAACCCCAGAAATTCGATAACAAACTCCTCGATGTTTCGTACACTGGTAGTGGCAAAGGTTCTCGCCGTAGCGGCAACTGACGTTGTTGTCTTAAGATATTTGTCATTTCTTGTACCATCCTTTCCTGTCTTTCAGGTCGGGCTGTGAAAGAGCCTTCCAGCTCGTATGCCCTTAATTTAACCATCCTCTCCACAAACTCTTATCAAATCATGCCAAATACCAGGATTTCCAATACAAAAATAAACACATAGTCACACATACGCACGTCTTTATATTCGCATTTCACATATCGTACGTAATTAATCACATGCGCAACAGATAATTGCATATTTATCAAATATCGCATGCTGAACATTTACTAAGTAATTATATATTCAAATCATGTTCATATTTCAAATAGACACCCGTAGGCAGAATTGAATGCACATAAACAACTTTTCATGATTCATATATTCATGTATGCAAACAAAAATCGTACCTTGCCAAGCATCGGTAGCAAAGAGGCAAAGAGGGTTTCGGCGAGATCTGTTGCGAGGAGGAGAGGACTGAAGTGATAAAGGGGGATGAGGAAGAGGCTGTCGTGATGGCGGTGGTCGAGGGATCTGTTGAAGAAGGAGAAACAGACAGGGTCCTGCGAGGGAGAAGAGAGGTGGTCGCGATGGCGGTGGTCGAGAGGGTTCTGTCGAAGAATAAACAGAGAGGGGGAGAGAGACGAAGAAGGAAGGAAGAGATGTGGGTGAGAGCAGAGAGGAAGAGAGAGACGTGGGTAGGTGAGAAGGTTAAGGAAGAGAAGTGCTTGGGCGGGAAATAAATAATTCAGAGCCGTTGATATACACTGAAGATTGATCTCAACCATCTAAATTAAATGTATCTGTGAGACATTTCTATACATTTTCAAAAAATCTCTTGCCTTATTATATAGATATGTATATGTATCAACAAACTGAAAGCTGACCTAGGGTTTTTACAGCTGTAATTCCATTAAACGCCTACAATGAACCAAAAAAAAATTCAGAAAAAACTCCAAATTCAGAAAAATCGTACCTTGCCAAGTGATACAATACGCATACACCAACACCAAGTGATAAAATCGTACCTCGCATTAACGGTGTCTGATACAATACACCAATTTATTAGTAACCCTCTTTGCCTCCAAATTCAGAAAAATCGAAATCAAAACAAACAAAAATCGTACCTTGCCAAGCATCGGTAGCAAAGAGGCAAAGAGGGTTTCGGCGAGATCTGTTGCGAGGAGGAGAGGACTGAAGTGATAAAGGGGGATGAGGAAGAGGCTGTCGTGATGGCGGTGGTCGAGGGATCTGTTGAAGAAGGAGAAACAGACAGGGTCCTGCGAGGGAGAAGAGAGGTGGTCGCGATGGCGGTGGTCGAGAGGGTTCTGTCGAAGAATAAACAGAGAGGGGGAGAGAGACGAAGAAGGAAGGAAGAGATGTGGGTGAGAGCAGAGAGGAAGAGAGAGACGTGGGTAGGTGAGAAGGTTAAGGAAGAGAAGTGCTTGGGCGGGAAATAAATAATTCAGAGCCGTTGATATACACTGAAGATTGATCTCAACCATCTAAATTAAATGTATCTGTGAGACATTTCTATACATTTTCAAAAAATCTCTTGCCTTATTATATAGATATGTATATGTATCAACAAACTGAAAGCTGACCTAGGGTTTTTACAGCTGTAATTCCATTAAACGCCTACAATGAACCAAAAAAAAATTCAGAAAAAACTCCAAATTCAGAAAAATCGTACCTTGCCAAGTGATACAATACGCATACACCAACACCAAGTGATAAAATCGTACCTCGCATTAACGGTGTCTGATACAATACACCAATTTATTAGTAACCCTCTTTGCCTCCAAATTCAGAAAAATCGAAATCAAAACAAACAAAAATCGTACCTTGCCAAGCATCGGTAGCAAAGAGGCAAAGAGGGTTTCGGCGAGATCTGTTGCGAGGAGGAGAGGACTGAAGTGATAAAGGGGGATGAGGAAGAGGCTGTCGTGATGGCGGTGGTCGAGGGATCTGTTGAAGAAGGAGAAACAGACAGGGTCCTGCGAGGGAGAAGAGAGGTGGTCGCGATGGCGGTGGTCGAGAGGGTTCTGTCGAAGAATAAACAGAGAGGGGGAGAGAGACGAAGAAGGAAGGAAGAGATGTGGGTGAGAGCAGAGAGGAAGAGAGAGACGTGGGTAGGTGAGAAGGTTAAGGAAGAGAAGTGCTTGGGCGGGAAATAAATAATTCAGAGCCGTTGATATACACTGAAGATTGATCTCAACCATCTAAATTAAATGTATCTGTGAGACATTTCTATACATTTTCAAAAAATCTCTTGCCTTATTATATAGATATGTATATGTATCAACAAACTGAAAGCTGACCTAGGGTTTTTACAGCTGTAATTCCATTAAACGCCTACAATGAACCAAAAAAAAATTCAGAAAAAACTCCAAATTCAGAAAAATCGTACCTTGCCAAGTGATACAATACGCATACACCAACACCAAGTGATAAAATCGTACCTCGCATTAACGGTGTCTGATACAATACACCAATTTATTAGTAACCCTCTTTGCCTCCAAATTCAGAAAAATCGAAATCAAAACAAACAAAAATCGTACCTTGCCAAGCATCGGTAGCAAAGAGGCAAAGAGGGTTTCGGCGAGATCTGTTGCGAGGAGGAGAGGACTGAAGTGATAAAGGGGGATGAGGAAGAGGCTGTCGTGATGGCGGTGGTCGAGGGATCTGTTGAAGAAGGAGAAACAGACAGGGTCCTGCGAGGGAGAAGAGAGGTGGTCGCGATGGCGGTGGTCGAGAGGGTTCTGTCGAAGAATAAACAGAGAGGGGGAGAGAGACGAAGAAGGAAGGAAGAGATGTGGGTGAGAGCAGAGAGGAAGAGAGAGACGTGGGTAGGTGAGAAGGTTAAGGAAGAGAAGTGCTTGGGCGGGAAATAAATAATTCAGAGCCGTTGATATACACTGAAGATTGATCTCAACCATCTAAATTAAATGTATCTGTGAGACATTTCTATACATTTTCAAAAAATCTCTTGCCTTATTATATAGATATGTATATGTATCAACAAACTGAAAGCTGACCTAGGGTTTTTACAGCTGTAATTCCATTAAACGCCTACAATGAACCAAAAAAAAATTCAGAAAAAACTCCAAATTCAGAAAAATCGTACCTTGCCAAGTGATACAATACGCATACACCAACACCAAGTGATAAAATCGTACCTCGCATTAACGGTGTCTGATACAATACACCAATTTATTAGTAACCCTCTTTGCCTCCAAATTCAGAAAAATCGAAATCAAAACAAACAAAAATCGTACCTTGCCAAGCATCGGTAGCAAAGAGGCAAAGAGGGTTTCGGCGAGATCTGTTGCGAGGAGGAGAGGACTGAAGTGATAAAGGGGGATGAGGAAGAGGCTGTCGTGATGGCGGTGGTCGAGGGATCTGTTGAAGAAGGAGAAACAGACAGGGTCCTGCGAGGGAGAAGAGAGGTGGTCGCGATGGCGGTGGTCGAGAGGGTTCTGTCGAAGAATAAACAGAGAGGGGGAGAGAGACGAAGAAGGAAGGAAGAGATGTGGGTGAGAGCAGAGAGGAAGAGAGAGACGTGGGTAGGTGAGAAGGTTAAGGAAGAGAAGTGCTTGGGCGGGAAATAAATAATTCAGAGCCGTTGATATACACTGAAGATTGATCTCAACCATCTAAATTAAATGTATCTGTGAGACATTTCTATACATTTTCAAAAAATCTCTTGCCTTATTATATAGATATGTATATGTATCAACAAACTGAAAGCTGACCTAGGGTTTTTACAGCTGTAATTCCATTAAACGCCTACAATGAACCAAAAAAAAATTCAGAAAAAACTCCAAATTCAGAAAAATCGTACCTTGCCAAGTGATACAATACGCATACACCAACACCAAGTGATAAAATCGTACCTCGCATTAACGGTGTCTGATACAATACACCAATTTATTAGTAACCCTCTTTGCCTCCAAATTCAGAAAAATCGAAATCAAAACAAACAAAAATCGTACCTTGCCAAGCATCGGTAGCAAAGAGGCAAAGAGGGTTTCGGCGAGATCTGTTGCGAGGAGGAGAGGACTGAAGTGATAAAGGGGGATGAGGAAGAGGCTGTCGTGATGGCGGTGGTCGAGGGATCTGTTGAAGAAGGAGAAACAGACAGGGTCCTGCGAGGGAGAAGAGAGGTGGTCGCGATGGCGGTGGTCGAGAGGGTTCTGTCGAAGAATAAACAGAGAGGGGGAGAGAGACGAAGAAGGAAGGAAGAGATGTGGGTGAGAGCAGAGAGGAAGAGAGAGACGTGGGTAGGTGAGAAGGTTAAGGAAGAGAAGTGCTTGGGCGGGAAATAAATAATTCAGAGCCGTTGATATACACTGAAGATTGATCTCAACCATCTAAATTAAATGTATCTGTGAGACATTTCTATACATTTTCAAAAAATCTCTTGCCTTATTATATAGATATGTATATGTATCAACAAACTGAAAGCTGACCTAGGGTTTTTACAGCTGTAATTCCATTAAACGCCTACAATGAACCAAAAAAAAATTCAGAAAAAACTCCAAATTCAGAAAAATCGTACCTTGCCAAGTGATACAATACGCATACACCAACACCAAGTGATAAAATCGTACCTCGCATTAACGGTGTCTGATACAATACACCAATTTATTAGTAACCCTCTTTGCCTCCAAATTCAGAAAAATCGAAATCAAAACAAACAAAAATCGTACCTTGCCAAGCATCGGTAGCAAAGAGGCAAAGAGGGTTTCGGCGAGATCTGTTGCGAGGAGGAGAGGACTGAAGTGATAAAGGGGGATGAGGAAGAGGCTGTCGTGATGGCGGTGGTCGAGGGATCTGTTGAAGAAGGAGAAACAGACAGGGTCCTGCGAGGGAGAAGAGAGGTGGTCGCGATGGCGGTGGTCGAGAGGGTTCTGTCGAAGAATAAACAGAGAGGGGGAGAGAGACGAAGAAGGAAGGAAGAGATGTGGGTGAGAGCAGAGAGGAAGAGAGAGACGTGGGTAGGTGAGAAGGTTAAGGAAGAGAAGTGCTTGGGCGGGAAATAAATAATTCAGAGCCGTTGATATACACTGAAGATTGATCTCAACCATCTAAATTAAATGTATCTGTGAGACATTTCTATACATTTTCAAAAAATCTCTTGCCTTATTATATAGATATGTATATGTATCAACAAACTGAAAGCTGACCTAGGGTTTTTACAGCTGTAATTCCATTAAACGCCTACAATGAACCAAAAAAAAATTCAGAAAAAACTCCAAATTCAGAAAAATCGTACCTTGCCAAGTGATACAATACGCATACACCAACACCAAGTGATAAAATCGTACCTCGCATTAACGGTGTCTGATACAATACACCAATTTATTAGTAACCCTCTTTGCCTCCAAATTCAGAAAAATCGAAATCAAAACAAACAAAAATCGTACCTTGCCAAGCATCGGTAGCAAAGAGGCAAAGAGGGTTTCGGCGAGATCTGTTGCGAGGAGGAGAGGACTGAAGTGATAAAGGGGGATGAGGAAGAGGCTGTCGTGATGGCGGTGGTCGAGGGATCTGTTGAAGAAGGGGAAACAGACAGGGTCCTGCGAGGGAGAAGAGAGGTGGTCGCGATGGCGGTGGTCGAGAGGGTTCTGTCGAAGAATAAACAGAGAGGGGGAGAGAGACGAAGAAGGAAGGAAGAGATGTGGGTGAGAGCAGAGAGGAAGAGAGAGACGTGGGTAGGTGAGAAGGTTAAGGAAGAGAAGTGCTTGGGCGGGAAATAAATAATTCAGAGCCGTTGATATACACTGAAGATTGATCTCAACCATCTAAATTAAATGTATCTGTGAGACATTTCTATACATTTTCAAAAAATCTCTTGCCTTATTATATATATATGTATATGTATCAACAAACTGAAAGCTGACCTAGGGTTTTTACAGCTGTAATTCCATTAAACGCCTACAATGAACCAAAAAAAAATTCAGAAAAAACTCCAAATTCAGAAAAATCGTACCTTGCCAAGTGATACAATACGCATACACCAACACCAAGTGATAAAATCGTACCTCGCATTAACGGTGTCTGATACAATACACCAATTTATTAGTAACCCTCTTTGCCTCCAAATTCAGAAAAATCGAAATCAAAACAAACAAAAATCGTACCTTGCCAAGCATCGGTAGCAAAGAGGCAAAGAGGGTTTCGGCGAGATCTGTTGCGAGGAGGAGAGGACTGAAGTGATAAAGGGGGATGAGGAAGAGGCTGTCGTGATGGCGGTGGTCGAGGGATCTGTTGAAGAAGGGGAAACAGACAGGGTCCTGCGAGGGAGAAGAGAGGTGGTCGCGATGGCGGTGGTCGAGAGGGTTCTGTCGAAGAATAAACAGAGAGGGGGAGAGAGACGAAGAAGGAAGGAAGAGATGTGGGTGAGAGCAGAGAGGAAGAGAGAGACGTGGGTAGGTGAGAAGGTTAAGGAAGAGAAGTGCTTGGGCGGGAAATAAATAATTCAGAGCCGTTGATATACACTGAAGATTGATCTCAACCATCTAAATTAAATGTATCTGTGAGACATTTCTATACATTTTCAAAAAATCTCTTGCCTTATTATATATATATGTATATGTATCAACAAACTGAAAGCTGACCTAGGGTTTTTACAGCTGTAATTCCATTAAACGCCTACAATGAACCAAAAAAAAATTCAGAAAAAACTCCAAATTCAGAAAAATCGTACCTTGCCAAGTGATACAATACGCATACACCAACACCAAGTGATAAAATCGTACCTCGCATTAACGGTGTCTGATACAATACACCAATTTATTAGTAACCCTCTTTGCCTCCAAATTCAGAAAAATCGAAATCAAAACAAACAAAAATCGTACCTTGCCAAGCATCGGTAGCAAAGAGGCAAAGAGGGTTTCGGCGAGATCTGTTGCGAGGAGGAGAGGACTGAAGTGATAAAGGGGGATGAGGAAGAGGCTGTCGTGATGGCGGTGGTCGAGGGATCTGTTGAAGAAGGGGAAACAGACAGGGTCCTGCGAGGGAGAAGAGAGGTGGTCGCGATGGCGGTGGTCGAGAGGGTTCTGTCGAAGAATAAACAGAGAGGGGGAGAGAGACGAAGAAGGAAGGAAGAGATGTGGGTGAGAGCAGAGAGGAAGAGAGAGACGTGGGTAGGTGAGAAGGTTAAGGAAGAGAAGTGCTTGGGCGGGAAATAAATAATTCAGAGCCGTTGATATACACTGAAGATTGATCTCAACCATCTAAATTAAATGTATCTGTGAGACATTTCTATACATTTTCAAAAAATCTCTTGCCTTATTATATAGATTACATGTGGTTCTGTGATCGAATTTTGTACTCATAGAAGAGCTGCAAAATCATTGCATAAAAGAGCACTTAAGTTCAGTTATTAGGCTTGAAAAAAAAAAAAAAAAAAGAAACGAAAAAAAGAAAGAAGCATAAACGACCACTTCATTGAGCACATTGTTACACGATTAGTTGATTTTGTAAAAAGCGAATTACACTAACAGTCCTTATAGTTTGTGACTTGTGTGACTTTAATCCCTGACTTTTCAATTGTGATATATTTGATCTTGAATTTTGAATATTATTCCAAATAAGGACAATCAAACATGTTTTCTTTGTAAATGGTCCATTTCAAGGGTAAAGTCGTCATTTAAATTATTTTGTGTTGGTTAACTTGTATGTTATTTGAAATGTAATGACATTTTTTCAATGAATAATGCTGAATTTTTTTATTATTATTATAAAATTCTGTTTGAATTGATTTTTAGAATCAATTTTTCAAAAAAAAATTCTAACAAATTAAAAATTAAATTGGTGAAAAAAATTAATAACACATCATTTTTATATAATTTTATCTTTTGAGAGGGTAGAAATACTTTTTTAAAATTTATTTTTTTTTAAATTTATTTTCGTCAAATTAGTTTCAATTTTTTCAAAAGTCAAATATGGCGACAATTTTGATGTCATTATTAAACTAATCCCCATTAAATTAAAAAATCCAAAACTAAAAATATTTCATATGTTAAACATATCAATTACACATTATAAGTCTAATAACTATCAATTACATGATAACCATAAAAAAATATCTATTAAAAACAAATACAACCATCTATTACATTATGACCATCCAAAAATGTCAGCAAAACAACAACCCATTATATAATCATCATCCATATATATACTAAAAATTAATTTAATAAAAAATATATAAAAATAAAAGATTTATTATTTTATATAATTTTATCTTTGGTAGATAGAAATAATTTTTAAAAATTCAAAAATAATTTTTTAACATTTATTTTCTGTCAAATTGGTTTATATTTGACCAAATTAAAGACTTTACCCTTGAAATGGAGCAACAGTGTCTTCAATTGTCCTTATTTGGAATGTGATTCAAAATTTAGAGTCAAATGTATCACAATTAAAAGGTTAGGAATCAAAGTGGCACAAGTCTCAAACTACAAGAACCTTAAGCGTTATTCGCCCTTTTGTAAAATTACAATAGAAGTGGAGAACTCATGGGGAAAAAAAAAAAAAAAAAAGGCTCTTCGACCAAAAAATTAAATTTGAAAAGAAGTTGGTTTTTTAAACATCTAATGTGTTAATGTAACTATCAGACCATTGTTTGGTCATGAATTGATGTGGAAATAGAACTTACCACAGAGCCAAAGGTACACTACAAGAATTTACACAATTGCCGACCACTTTTACCGACCAAAAAAATTTTGGTCGCAAAAAAATGACATTTGGCGACCAAATATTAATTAGTCGCGAATGATCATTATTTTTGGCGACCAAATATTATTGGTCGCAAAAGGTTATATTTTGGCGACCAAAAAATGAGTTGGTCGCAGAAAGTGGTATGTTTTTGCCGACCAACTATAAATTTGGTCGCGGAAGGTCACATATTTTTGGGCGACCAAAAATTTGGTCGCCAAAAAGTTATTTTCAACAACCAAAAAAAATTGGTCGCCAAATTAGTACATTTAGCGACTAATATTTTAGTCGCCATTGATTGAGATTTGACGACTAAAAAAATTTGTCGGCGAAGGTACTTTTTCTGCGACTAATATGATATTTGGTCGCCAAAAGTTTGGGAAGGAAATTTGAAACGTGGAGGTGGGAATTAGGGCTGGGCATAGGGTCATTCGACTCGCACAACCCGTCCTAGCCGACCCTACCCGTACGCGTATGGACGGTTTCGCAAATATAATAGGATAGGATGCGATTTGAAATATTTCTAATTTTCGGATTGTCGGCGGGTTGCGGGTTTGAACCGCCCCCGACCAACCCGCCCGCATAACTTTTTTTTTTTTTTTTTCTTCAGAAGATCTGGACCGTTCACTTCACTTCATCTATACCCAAACAAAACAAAGAAAGGAAAAAACCCTAAACTCAAAAACACATTACGCAGCTCTCATCTCACACTCTCTCTCGTTTTTCAGTCTCTCACTCTCATCTCACTCTCATCTGATCAGTCTCTCATACTCACTCTCTCACTCTCATCTCATCACTCATCTCGGCCGATCAACCTCGCAAGAGATCGACTCTCACTCATCGCAAGATTGACCGATCGACCTCATACTCTCATCGCACCGATCGACCTCCCAGGTACGGATCTCTATGTCGCTGTCTCTGTCTCTCTTTCCTCTCCGATCTCTGATTTTTTTGTGTTATTCAGATCTGTGTCACTCTGTGTGACTAAGATTGTTTGTCAATGGT